GTTTAATGTCTAGCTAGTGTTTTTGGTGTTTAAATTTATCAACATTAAAAAAAAAAAAAAACAAACCCAAAAGTGGATTTCTGTATGGATAACCAATATCTGGAGCTAGTAATAAAGCAGAAAATGTCAAGCTTCATTCTCTAATTGTTAAAGATATGGATGAATTCTAATGCAGTGGAAAATCACTTCATTTCTTCTTACTGTGAAGTTTGTTGCAACTTCTTCCGATTTATGTAGTTTAGCTTCTGCTGAAGACATTTTTTGGCATATACGCAACATGATGCTTGATTCTGCGTATAGGTTTCTATGGTTTAATGACAGCATTCTTTAGAAAGACATACAATCCAAATGAGGAATGAACACCTCAGCTTTTTCTGATGTTTATTTGTACCAGGCAAATGCCAAGCTTCACAGAAGTTGGACTGCATTTTGAAACGAATCCTGAACCAATGCAATGAATTTTCACCTGAATATATTTGATGAATCTCCTGTTTATGTATATCTTTGCAACCTAGAAATTCTATCAAGATTAACCCCATTGGAGTTCCAGTAAAATGTAAAACTTAATTCACTTGTGAGGCAGAAAGGAGTTTAGGTTCCAGTACACCACCTCATACATCACTAACTTGCCTTTTCTTTTTTTTTTTTGTTTTAATATCTGTATTTTCATGGGTCAGTTCAGCTCCATCTTGCTGCACTTACCCTATTTTCCAATGGTAAAAACTTGGTCATGAAGTTTTGCCTTTATTTTGTGGGGGCTAGAATTCTTCTCAGAATATGCCTGAAGCACATGTTCTATATTAAGCCAAATAAAACGAAACATATCCTTAAAATTAAGCTGGTGCTTACTTTCTGTGCTTAATAAAAATGAATTAAGCATGCGCTTCAGTATTTGTTGGGATTGAAGTCTGTTTGCTGAGTTAGAGAATAGAGTTTTGGATTAGTTTTTAAGAGTCCTCTTCATACAAACACAGATGGAGCATTCAAATGTCCTGATTGCTCACATGTCCTCACGATCTGTAGCCAGGATCTGGTATGGATTTTTTTAGTTCAGTCAGAACAGGACTTCATCTGCAAAGCAGCAGATGGAAGGAAGGGATCCAAGTTTTTAATCCTTTTTTTTTTCTTTTTGAACAGATGTTGTTGAGATGATCGAGCTACAGAGCCACAAATCCAACCAAAAAGTGGGTAAAGAAATACATACAAACATATGTTGATATTTGGTATATGTTTAATCAGGCAGGCTACAGTCACCTACTGCTGACATGAATATCCACCTCTCATATGATGGAGATGACGGGATTTTTAAGATTACTATAGAAGAGGAATTTAATTTTGCGTACTCTTTTGATTTCTCATTCAGTCAACAGAAAAGCTAACCACAACACTGACACTTACTTTAATAACAGTCAAATGGTTCAGCACAGGACCAGGAAGTTGGTCAACAACAAGCAGTGGAGTACGTGGAGGGGAAGGTTACTAAAAGGAGGGGAAGGTTATACCATATGGCTCAGGTTCACAGATTTCAGTTTGGGGCAATAATCTCACCGACAACTGTCAGGTGGAACACTAAATGAGTGAAAGAATATTTGTATGGGATAGCATTTACTATTGAGTTAAGAAGTGATAGTTTTCTGACTATTAATTCTCAGAACAAGATAAGGCTACTAAATTAGAATTGCAGGTTAGGCTGATCTCATCATGGTAGTCATGATGAAGTAATTCTGATTTTGTCAGTGAAATATTTATTAATGTCTCTACATCTTTAAAAAAAATATTCAAGACTTTGATGACAGTTCCTTTGCAGTAAACTGTAAATGAGACACGCTTAATTTTTATTTTTTTGTAAAACTCCTCAGTTAAATTAAATAGATGCAAAACTTTGACAAAGTTACTAATTACAGCTTATTACAGCATGTTCTACCTAGTAGCTTCCCTGTTGGAATTCAGTAATTATGAACGAAGGGGATCCCAACAGGCACCTGTTTTACACTTGAAAGCTCGGAATTATTGCTCCACAGTAACACTTTGTGTTATGTAACATAAGTCAAAGGAGGAATTATACAGCCAAATTCCTGTTATCTTGTCTGGAAAGACCAGAAATGGAATTCATATTGCATGGGACAAGTTGTTGTCACTGTACAAACATTACTGCAATATCCATGGGCCTAAAGAAGTAACATTATATGCAAAATACCTACAATGAAACAATATTTACCCTTTTTTCAAAAAAAAAAAAAGTTTCCAGATCCTTAGATGAAAAGCATTTAACTGTATACCATTATACTATATGTACTAAAAATCTTCTGGTACCATTTAGGTCAGATTTGACTGACCATATGGAATAACATTTTCTTAATTTTTGAGGTATGAACAGACTACAGTGACAGAAAATAATAACAGTCTACATAGAAGATGTAAAAGTTTGGATTTTTTTTAAATCCAGGAGCAAAGAAATGTAAGAAAACTCACTGTGAAATCTGAAGTATCTATGATTCATTAATTTTTGTTCCTGGCCAAAAAAACCCTTCTAAAACAGTTAAACACCAGCAATGCCTAGAAGAGATTTTGTGAGGAAGATCAAAGATAAACAGATGATATTAAAAAAAAAAAACAACAAACAAAACAAAAACCAAAAAGACGATAGAGAAGTATTCTCCTAATACATGGAAATTCTCTTATTTGACATATTTCACGTTCCTTGTCTTTATGGAGTTTGATATTTTACTAAGATTTTGGAGTATCTTATGGACACTCAATTAGAAACTTAGTTTTTTAAATACTGAACACAATCATTCATTTTATAAAGCAGTCATAGACCCTGCATAATACAGTTTTCTTTAGACAAAGTAAAGGACATTGCTTCCACCATGCCATACACGTACTTGTGGATTCCACCAAAAACCTGTCTGCATGTCTAGCATTTTCTAAAGAGACCATTATGCTTGTCTTGATGAGATGCCAGAAACAGACAGAAGAGAGACAGATGGCAACATAAACATTTTGTGGAAATTATGGTAGCCAGGAAAATGAATTTTAAGTATTTAAATAAACCAAAACTACAATTTCCCTACTCTCTGTAGGGAACTTGGCAAAAAAAATGGCTCAAGAAAGAGGTAAGAATGGAAAAGTAAGGATGGCCTAGAGAAAGCCATTTGGATATGAAAGAGTTAAGGCCATAATTTTATCAGAATTGAAGCAGGGAGGCAGAATGGCTTCATTTTACAAGAACAAAATGGAAGGCTACATGGCAACATGGAAAATGAGAAGAATGTAAGGAAATGAAAGAAGGAAGATGCAGAGTATTTTGGTTAAACTGTTGTATCACATAACCTTGTATAGCTCCTAGCAAGTGTTCACCGTGCCAAAAAAGATAATGACAAAATTACAGAATAATGGAGGTTGTAAGGGACCTCTGGAAGTTGTCTTATTCAACCTCCAAGAAGAAAATAACAGAAGAAAACACAGAAAGTACAACAGAAGCCCTGCAAATAACTGGGAAAAAAAAAAAAAAAAAAAAAAAGACAACAGGAAACAAAGGGGAATAGATGGGCAAGTACAGGATGAGGAAATCGATAAACATGTTGATAGTAATAACTGCATTAAAAAAATGTAATGGGATAAAAGCCAATCTAGAACAGATTTCTGGTTAAGATATAAACAGTAAGTCATTCAAGTGATAACAGAACAAGAAGCTTCTGTGATGTGCAGATGTATTGGGTTTGCATGGCAAGGTATTGGTAGCAGGGCAGGGGCTACAGGGGTGGCTTCTGTGAGAAGCTGCTAGAAGGTTCTCTGTATGTCCCATAGAGCCAATGCCAGCTGGCTCCAAGATGGACCTGCCACTGGCCAAGGCCAAGCCTATCAGTGATGGTGGTAGCACCTCTGTGATAATGCATTTAAGAGGATAAAAAAACCTAGGCAACAGCAATGGCAGCTGGAGAGAGGAGAGAGAATATGTGGAAGAAACAATGCTGCAGACACCAAGGTCAGTGAAGAAGGAGGGCGAGGAGGTGCTCCAGGTACTGGCAGAGATTCCCCTGTAGCCCATGGTGAAGACGAAGCAGGCTGCCGATGAAGGTTAACAGTGGAGCAGATATCCACCTGCAGCTTGTGGAGGACCTCACATTGTAGCAGGTGGATGCACGTGAAGGAGGCTGCAGCAGGCTCCTGGCAGGACCTGTGGACCCATGGAGAGAGAAGCCCATGCTGGAGCAGGTTTGCTGGCAGGACTTGTAACCCCCTAGGGGACCCACGCTGGAGCAGTCTGTTCCTGAAGGACTGCATGCTGTGGAAAGGACCCATGCTGAAGCAGTTCATGAAGAACTGCAGCCCATGGGAAGGACCCATGCTAGAGAAGTTCATGAAGAACTGTCTCCCATGGGACGGACCCCATGCTGCAGCAGGGGAAGAGTGTGATGAGTCCTCCCTCTGAGGAGGAAGGAGTGGCAGAGACAATGCGCGATGAACTGACTGCAACCCCCATTCCCTGTCCCCTTGCACTGCTGTAGGAGAGGAGGTAGAGAATTTGGGAGTAAAGTTAAGCCTGGGAAGAAGGGAGGGGTGGGGTTGTTTGAAGGGGTGTTTTAAGATTTTATTTCTCATTATCCTACTCTGATTTGATTGGTAATAAATACATTAATTTCCCCAAGTCAAGTCTGTTTTGCCTGTGACGGTAACTACTGAATGAGCTCTCCCTGTCTTTATCTTGACCCGTGAGCCTTTTGTGACATTTTCTCTCCCCTGGCCAGTTGAGGAGGGGGAATGACAGAGTGGCTTTGGTGGGCACCTGGCATCCAGCCAGGGTCAGCCCACCACATCAGAGAACAAGGTTGGATTCACTTCACAAGATGAAATGCTGCTTTAATTTACCATTTATCATGAGGACAAATCATAAACATTCCAGTCAACTTTCAAGGTACTGTGTGGAAGACTTGGTGTTAACAGAATTTTTGTGCTCTAGTTTTGAGGAAGAGAGGAAAAGATGCAAAACGATCATAAAACCATAACAAAATTTCATTCCACTTTCCCGATCTGCATTCAAGTGCACGTTCATAGGCATTAGGCATTAATCATATGCTGGTAAACCAAACAGTTCTGGTTTGAAATCCTCCATGGAGTTCAGCAGTAGTGTTGCCTCCTTTTTAAGATCTGGATTTAATTTTTCATCTGGAATCATAACCACTTGCATTCCTGCTGCCAGGGCTCCTTTGACTCCAAGGGGTGAATCTTCAAACACAAGACACTGAGAAACAAGGAGGTGAAGGGAAAAAAATTAAAGAATAATGTTACTATGAACTTTAAATCTTTTAATTTAAAAGAGAGAATGATACCAAATAAAACTTAGTAGGAAAGCTAAATTCAATTTCTGGCTTAGACACCGCTAATGAGAACAAGGGCAAACTTCTCAATTTGAACATCTGCAAGGTAATTAACCTTAAATTCATTTAAATTAAAAAAAACATCAACACGCATACTTAAATCCCAGCGACTGGTTATCCAGATGTTCCTAGGTGATCTGCCTCATAGGCATGGGTTTAAGCACAAGCTTAAAGTAAAGTTAAGCAAGTGCCTAAACATCTTTATAAGCAGGCAATTTAATTCTTCAAGACCAACTTTACAACCCACAAAATGGCAAAAGCAGTGCTTCACTTACAGGTGTGGCGTTTCCTACATACACAAGGGGGGAAGACTACATTACGTAGGTCAATATTAGGACTTTGGATGAGTGGACAGTAAGACAGAAGTCACTTGTCAGAAGACTCCTGTGGAATTCACACTCTAGTTGCTTAATTCTTCCAAACCAATGGTGAGAAAGAAAATAAGTGATTATATAGGAAGGTTACTTTTAGAGAAGAGACAGTTTAGTCAGGTAAAAGTTCCATGTCTTACAATAGTCACAGTCATTCAAGATCACAGTTTGGAAGCAAAGGCTTTATAAATAACGGACACCGTCCCACACGATACCCTGGTCTCTAAATTGAAGAGACGTGGATTCTACAAATGGACCACTTGGTGGATAAAGAACTGGGTGGACGGTTGCACTCAAAGAGTTGCGGTCAATGGCTTGATGTCCAAGTGGAGACCAGTGACCAGTAGCATTCCTCAGGGGTTGGTACTGGGACCTGTACTGTTCAACATCTTTGTCGCGGACATGGACAGTGGGGTCGATGACCCCTCAGCAAATTTGCCGATGATATCAAGCTGTTTGGCGAGGTAAATGCGCTGGAGGGGAGGGATGCCATCCAGAGGGACCTGGACAGGCTGGAGAGGTGGGCCCATGCCAACCAAGTTGGCAGTTGGAAGTTCAACAAGGCCAAGTGCAAGGTCCTACATCTAGGTCAGGGCAATCCCAAGCACAAATACAGGCTCAGCAGGGAATGGCTGGAGAGCAGCCCTCAGGTGAATGACCTGATTATTGAGAAGTTCAGCATGAGCCAGCAATGTGCGGTCACAGCCCAGAAGGCCAACCATATCCTGGGCTGCATCAAAAGAAGTGTGGCCAGCAGGTCAAAGGAGGTGATTCTGCCCCTCTACTCCACTCTTGTGAGACCCCACCTGGAGTACCGCATCCAGGTCTGGAGTCCCCAACATAAGAAGGACATGGACCTGCTGGAGCATGTCCAGAGGAGAGCCACAAGGATGATCCGAGGGCTGGAGCACCTCTCCGAAGAGGAGAGGCTGAGAGAGCTGGGGCTGTTCAGCCTGGGGAAGAGAAGAGAAGGCTCCAGGGAGATCTTATTGCGGCCTTCCAGTACCTAACGGGGGCCTACAGGAGAGCTGGGCAAGGACTTTTCACTAGGGCATGTAGCGATAGGATGAGGGGGAGTGGCTTTAAACTGGAAGAGGGCATGTTTAGATTAAATATTAGGAAGAAGTTTTTCACTGTGAGGGTGGTGAGGCACTGGAGCAGGTTGCCCAGACAGGTTGTTGAGGCCCCATCCCTGGGGGTGTTCAAGGCCAGGCTGGATGTGGCCTTGGGCAACGTGGTCTTGTGGGAGGTGACCCTGTCTATGGCAGGGGGGTTTGGGACTCAATGATCTTCAAGGTCCTTTCCAACCTAAACCATTCTATGATTCTATGATTATTTATGTGAATTTTGTAGTTTAATATCAGAATATTGAATAATAAGAATATAAAAATCACCTAGTCTGAACTTTTATATAATAAAAGATAATGCTTCTGGAGCTCATTTCAGAATGTGTATAATAAAATATCTCTTCCTGACATTACCCGATCTTGAGTTTGAATTTCTGGACATGGACAATCCAAAGCAACCTTTGGCATCTAACCATCCAAAAAATTCTGACGCACACTAACAAATGGTTTCTAACACTTCTGCAATTAAGACTGAATTTATTACCATTATTCGCATTGCTACTACCACTAATACCAAAATTACTGCCACAAGGAATTTCAGTAATTCAACACAGATGTTGGGATGGTTGGTGCAATTTTCCCCACACCCTTCAGATAGTGCAACTCTGCCATATCACAAATTTGTCTCTCATGCTTTAGGCCCTTCTCTGAAGTCATTACTGATCAACCAAATCCCTTCCTACATACCCAGGATGGATTTTCTCATCTTTTTCTTCACAACACAATAGGCTGTGGCAACTAATATCGAATGGGTGAGAGTAATGATTTGCTAAACTTAGTCTGAATCCAGATACGACACACTAGGAGAACATACAATATCATACTGCACCTTTTAGGCTCTCTAACACATAACTGTTTCACCAGGGAAGATTAGGGATACACAACATTTGTATAGTCTGGCTGTGCTCTAAGAGAACCAAGCTGTAACCTGCAAAAACTTTATTATGTTCAAAGAAAACATTTTTTGCAAGATGTATTAAATGTCTGCTCTGTATATACCCATCTGTATCAGAGACTGTGGAAGAAGAGTGAATGAACCTTTTCTTCTGCTTTCTTTTCTTTTTAAAATATTGATTCTTGCCTGTCAACATGCCAGCAACCACTTGGAGCCTGCCAAGAGAAAGTAAGAGGTGCTTTCTACCTTGCATGTAATAGAGTAAAACTTAATTCATGTTTTTTAGTGAGCCAATGGAATCACACCAATCTCTTTTGTGCTCATTTCCTTTACACAGCCACTAAATTCCAGTTTGAACAGTGTGGTATTTTCAAATGTTGATCATTATCACTATTACTAACTACAAATACGTTATCAGCTGATCCTGCAAAGCTTGGAACAATTGCTATTAGAAAGGAAGCATGGTTCTGCCTCCAGGTTTTATTCTTAACAGTACCCTAGTTTGTGACCCTAAGCACTGTGAGGACAGTAAATGATACCCTGACAGGCTTTGCCTTTTGAAGAGTAAGCTTAAATGTTGCACAGAACAGCATTATCAAGGTCTTTCAGAAACCTTTTCTAATCCAGCCCATACAAAGAAATGTACTTCCCTGCTCTGCCTTGAAAGACCTAATTGACTTCCATGATGTCACTAAGCTTACTGTACGAGAGGAGCCGATGATTATGGAAGGCAATATGAATAATGAAAAGCTTAACAAATTCCCTGGAACTAGAAGCAATTAAAACTCTGAATTACCAAAGAAGCCAGACAAATGACCCGTAATTACAGTGGCTTTAATGTTACAGGAAATAAGTGTACGAGGTTTTCCTCCAGTCTTTCTTGCTACTGACACTTATTGTCAACAGCACAGCAACATTTTTAATGGATGATGAAAGGTTTACAGAGGTTCACGTACAAAATGGATTTACTAACTTTGCTGCACAGAAATGTTATAAACTGTTCACTGTCCTGGCCCACCCACATACTAAATTTAGAGATATGAAAGCAGCCAAGTTCTCCCCCATTTTGCATAAGTATTGCAATATCAGCACCACTCCAACCGAGAGAGACAGATGAGATTTATACAGACTTCAGCTGAGATTCTGGCTGCTTCTCTGCATTATTTCTAAAACTTGTGTCACTGATCAATACTATTGCTATGAGATCTCTCAAAAGGTCATACTAATATAGGACAGTTTTCACTTTGGAATGAACTAGATGCTTAAAAAAGTAAAGTAGTAAAGCATATTAATTTATATTTCACTCTATGAATCTAGAAAAGAAAAATTAATCATTTAATCAAAGGAAGAAATAATAAAATCACTGCAGTACCTCATTGCCTCATCTTCTTACATGAAATTTAAGAACATCAGAAAAGAGTGTTGGTTAGGTACCCTTGGTATGTACAGTAGACCCTCTCCAACCTACATACTATAAATGTCTGAATGGAATATTTATGTAACTAACAGGGATATCCATACGTGTTATTGCTTTTAGTGATAACCAAGAATTCTGGAAGGATAAAAGATTAAAATCAGTTTTGAAATTAAGATTTTGAAAAACCCGTGTAGATAATATATATGCATGGGGAGTGCTTCTCAAATGAATATCCTTGACCACATATGACACTACTGTATCAATTCTAAAACAGAATGATGAGACTAAAGATGGTGTAATTGATACACACAGAACTCATCTGAAAATTAAACAATACCACAATTATTGTTCTATAAAGAAAAAATGAAATAAAAATTTTCATTGTCTTTAAAATGGGTAAATATAGCCTCAAATTCTTTCATATTATAGTAGAATCACAGAATCATAGAACGGTTTAGATTGGAAGGGACCTTAAAGATCATCTAGTTCCAACCCCCTGCCATGGGCAGGGACACCTTCCACTAGAACCACCAGGTTGCTCAAAGCCCCATCCAACCTGGCCCTGAACTCTTCTAGGGATGAAGCATCCAAAACTTTTCTGGGCAAAAAGATTTTTCTTAGAAAAATCTTCCGTTTGCTGGTTCTGGTCCAGTCTGTTTAGGCCCTTAATCTAAGTGAAAACATTTGCAGACATGGGGATGAAACTGCACGTTTTAGCACTTTTGTCTTTGAACCAGAGTCTTACTGGTAAGAGTATTGAGTATTTCATTCCCTTTGATAAAAAGGAGAAGAAAAGGAACTGAGTATTTGTTTGTTCCTTTTATTCCCTAAACATTTTCTTTTAATATATTTTTACATTGTATTCTCCATATGCTCCATGAGAAGCAGCTACTATGGAATTAATGAGAAAATATTAAACTTCAGTTTTCATCTTTTTTCTGTTACCACTGTTACATTTACCTTGTGGTCTGTTCAAACTGAAGCCAACAGGGTTAAGTCTTTCACTGGGCAAAATACACTTTAAAAAACTTCAGTCCTATTAAGCCTTACAGAG